TTATATACACATAACACCATCTTATTTCATAAACAATTAATATTTATGATCACTACCCAAGAATCTCTCATTCACAGTTTCTAAATTCATTTAATATGAAAAGAAAATATTATATATATATATATATAAAGTAAAGCTATTTTTTTAAAATTTTAAAATAGTTATTAATTAGAAAATAAAATTAATGTAATAATATTATATAATAATTACTTATTTTAATTTTTTCAATAAAAGTAAAAATTCATTTTTAGTTGATTATTAATGCATTACATACATATTTATGTTTATCTATTTGAATTTTCTAAATAAAAAATAAAATTTTATTTTTAGTTAACTCCAAACACGCAACATCACATATATCTATAAATCATTCAAAAACTTCATTTCTTCTTGTTATTCATTTACTTTTTTTCTCTTTCCATTTTCTACCTAACTGATATTAAAATTTAGTGTTTTGAGTTAATAAATTTTATTTTCATCGTTCGTTAATTTTAATTATATAAAAATCATTAAAGTTATGATAAAGACATTGTATTTAAAAAATATTACGAAGTAAAAATATATACATTTGATTCATAATTTTTTTATAATTTATTGATTTATTGTTAGATGAGAAATTATATTTTTAGAACATACTTTTTTAGTAACAAGTTATACAAATAAAATTTATATTATAATTTTTTTTTTGGCTACAAGATACTAGGCATATTGTTAAAATGAGACTCAATTTATGCAATTAATAGATTTATTTAGATTCATAGAATAATTTGATTTTTTAATATATTTATTTATGTTATCTTTTTGTAGTCATTTAAAATTAATTAATTGAAAGTTTTTTTATTAATTATTTCATAAAGTTATATTAATTAAGAATTTAAAATTAAATTTATTATTAAAATTAATATTATGTAACTAATTAAAAAAATAATAAAATTATAATCCTAATCTTAAATTAAAATTAGCAAAAAGACATCAATAATCAAGAATACCATGCGTCCAAAAAATTTAAAAGAACAAAAAATTAAAGACAGCATAGCATATATTTGAGCTGACGTGGCATCAATGTGCCAACGTGGCAAGTCAGAGTCAATCAAATTCTCTTCAACACGCCAAATAGCTCACAGCGTCGGATGCTAGTAATTGAATCTCAGCCGTTGATTTTGTACAAATCATACGGTGCATCAACGAACTTAAGTCACTCACATGGGACGTCACACACTGGATCATTACTCAACCAGTGGCATGTTCGTAAATCTCCTCCTTAGTCTTAAAGCTTAACTTACAATACGAAGCATCCCCCTCCCATATCGTATTTACAGAGCTCTCTCTATTCCACCACCAAAAACCCCTCTCTCTCTCTGGATCTCAGCGCTTGAACAAGCCGCGATTTGAATTAAGTGTCTACTCTTTAAGATTTAATCTTCAAAGATGGTGAGTTATATGATCTATCTAATTTTACTTTAGATCTGCCTCAAATTCTCTTCGATTTGGTGTTAATATCTTATTTCTCGCATAATTGAACCAGAGAGTAGCTTTCTTACCGCGTAGTTGAACGCATTATATGAATTTTGTTATTGATTTATTGAAATCGAAATCAGAGACTTGGTTGGAAATTAGTTGCAGCCTGTTTGGTTCCTGAGGATCATGTCATTATAAACGTTTTCATTTTACTTGATTTGGTTCGCGAACAAGCAAATGATTTGCAAGGGACTTGAGTTTAGTAGAGATCTGATGTTTCATTCAGGATACTTAATCTCACGATCATTTGTACATTTACGTTCGGACGTCAGAATTTTGTTTAGTCGAAAAAATATAGTTAATGTGGTGTTTGGTTGCGGAGAAAATGGAGAAAGATGGAGGATAGTAATTCATTAACTGATTTTGGGATTGATTAGTGTTAGTAAGATTCATTTTGGCTGATAAATGCAATTTTATCCTTCGGGAGTTTAGTTAATAAGGGATCTGGTGTTTGATGTGCTACTGACTGAAATTTTCTTGAAATTATTTTTTTTTGTGTTAACAGCCTCTCAGACTCAACATTAAGGGTATTATTTCTCGTTTCTTTCATTAGATCTTATTTCTTTTATTTTTAATTGGTATTTTTTATTGGGGAAGTAATGTGCTTATAATTATGTTTGGATCAGAGGAACTTGCTCAAAGATCAGAACGGGTAAAATCTGTAGATCTCCATCCCACAGAGCCATGGGTAAATCTTATCTGCAAGATACTTTT